TAGTGTAGGATTTAGCCCATGTGGTCAAGAGATGGGAAGTTTGAGTGTCTTACACTTAAGGCATAACTAGTAGTTACATATGAACTAAATGGTTACTCAAAGTGTCATTTAATTTGTACACAACATAATATTCATACCTTATGAATATAACTAGTTTTGATCTTTTTTATTATCATTTCCTACTTTCCTAGAAATAATAATTTCTCAATTAGTTGTTAAAATATTATTTTTATAAAATAATAATTCTCCAATTAAATACAAGTGTTGATTATATATATATATATATATATATATATATATATATATATATATATATATAATCAAATTACTATAATAAATAATCAATTAATAGTAACTTGTTATAAAATATGATCCTATAAATGATATGTCATTAACACTTATCGTTTTATAAAGATCTTTCAAATTTCATCATTTGGACATAAAATTAATTTATAAAGTGGTTAATTATATTTTTAAAATAAACTTTTAATATTCAATCAAATAGTTGTACAACTAGAATTTTGAATCTAGAAATGCATTGTTATTATCAAAGTTTTAAGTTAAGCACTCGCATCATACTTTTATTCTTATTTTTTTTACACCACATGACACTATATATAGAAAATTAAGGTATTCATACATAACGAACTTAGAAAGGAAGTTTATTGTTAATATCATATTTAACTTTATATATATATATATATATATATATATCTATATATCTATATATATCTATATATGAGTAGGATCAAATGAGAACACCTAAAATGTTGAAAACGCGCGAACAGATCACAACCTTATAAATAATTAGATCTATGGCTATTATCAACTGGACCATTTATGAATATTTATAAAACTGATGTGTTAAATATGTAACTTTGAAATGGCAAGAAGGGTACAATAGGAAATCCATATAATTTAATTAAATAGAAATTCTTATAATTTCTCTATTTCTCTCTCTCTACTTAACTAGAAAACCCTAATCTAATTATTTTGAAAAAACCGGCCGCACACCCCCACCTTCTTCACCACTGTTTTCGTTCATCATCTTCTGCCATCCTCCATCGTCGACCATCGCACAATTAAAATCCCGGATAAAACAACAAAAAACACTAATTGCGTTTTGGGTGGGTGTCTGTGGTCTTAAAAATCAGAAGAAGAGACGAGGATCTGAGACGAGGAAAGGGAGTGGATTCGAAGCATCAAACACAATTTGAGGTAATTTGGTTTGAAGGAAAAGGAAATCATACAGAGGGAATAAATTGAACGCACATGGGTTCTCAATCTCCCTGTGTTGATGTGTGGTCACGAGAACAGAAATAAGAGCAGGGTAGTCGCCGATGGCGGCAACACTGACTACCAGAGAGGGAAACGGCGGAGCTCAACCGGAGGTGGCCGGAAAAAGGTACGAGTTAAATCAATTTCGTATTTCTGTTGTCCAAGTTCATAATGTCGATTGATATTAAGCCCTTGTAAAATTTCCTTGATTGTCATTTTAACATAAATTCAATTAATAAGCTTCTTTCCTAAGCTTCTGATTTCTCGTTTCCATCCACCAGGTCAACAAAAAAATTAATTGAAATTGAGGATTGTCTTTGTTGGCGTTGTGTGGTTTGAATTTTGAGATGCAACAACAACAAAAATCAACAACTGGAGCATTTTTTTTGTTGCGTTTCCAGAATTGCCTTTTGAAGATTATCAATTGCAATCAATAATTAATTGAAATTGAGGATTATTTGTCTTTGTTGGCGTTGTATGGTGTGAATTTTGAAAACAACGATTCAATTTTGATTTACAAATGTATTGATTGTCGCTATAGTCTATTTGTGGTGGAGCGATTTAGTCAAGAACATGGAGTCGAGGTCTAATTACATCCAAATTCTATTATATTCAATTTTTGGATGTTTAGATTTTTTAAGGTTAGTTGATTATACTTTTTCTGGTGGATTCTGATTTCGGAATCCAGGAGCAATTTGAAGATTAAAAACAAAACACATTCTTGACAGGGTGGCTGGGAAGGAAAGTTGTGAATTGCCAATTTTCTCAAAACATCATTGATTTGTTTGCAGGTCATCACTGTGGCAGATACTCTAGAGTTTATCATTGATTGTTTTTGTATCTTCAAGTGATCCGTTCTACAGGTTGCATGGGAAAGTTTGTGTTATGCCACTGTTACATTACACATACAAAAGGAAGGGTAGAAAGGAAAATGAAGAGTAAAAAGGGAAAAGAGTAATTACCAATGAGCAAGAGGGGCAACATTAGATTTGTGTTACTTCCAGCTTTGTATAAGGATTATCTTTGGTTGTGGAGGGCGTATTTGACATCAGGTTCATTGGCTTTGTATCTAGGACGGTTGGGTGTTGATGAAATGCGTGAGAGAGGATTTCATTTGTGAATAGCAGGGTATTCATTTGTTAATAACAATGTATTCATTTTGTAAATAGCAGTGTAATCATGTGTGAATGAGTGTATTTATTTATGATTAGATGTAGTCTTTTATTCATTTGTCAATACCAGGGTATTCATTTGTTAATAACAATGTATTCATTTGTAAATAGCAGTGTAATCATATGTGAATAAGTGTATTTATTTATGATTAAAGATATTCTTTTATGAAGAAATGATAATTTTTACACCCCTTTTATTTTCGGTTGATTAAAAGAAAGGAATTGGATTACTTGTAAATTGATATGTATTCATTTGTGATTGTAGTATTATTAGTTTTTTTGAAAAAAAAAATCGTTTATGAATACAAATGTATTGATTGGGGGTTTGATTTCTATTAATTTTTCGAAAAAAACAAACGTGAAATAGGAGAAAAAAATTATTTTTTAAGAAAACAAAATTAAATTTTTTTAGTTTAAAATTCTTTTTTTGATAAAAATGTTATTTATATTTCATTAATAAGAAAAATAAAAAATAATCTTTCCTTCTTTTTGGTAACTGATCCTAAATTTAAGGGAATTTGATTGATTTATTTTATTTAATTTAATTAAATATACAATTACTAATATGCTCTTATATATTGATTGGTCCAGAACTGTTATCGGCGTTCTCAACTTTTAGGTGTTCTCATTGGATCATTTCCCTAGCGATATATATAATATATATATATATATATATATCTATATATATATATATATATATATATATATATATATATATATATATAGATATATTATAGATTAGCGAGAGAGAGAGAGAGAGAGAGAGAGAGAGAAAGAGAGCTAGGTTCAGGTATTTAAACTAATTATTGTACATCTATCGTATGCTATGAGAATGATAAATAAAATATGATGTTTGATAATATAAATACGTTCAATCTTACATAACTATTGTCATTAACACACAATCTCACTGATTAAATCGTCTATAAAGTTATTATACACTTATTATTATTATTCTCATTTCTGTCAGAATGTTTTATTGGGTCGTATTCTATCATAATGAAAATGAGTGAAAAACGATGTATGAGAACAAAAAAAAAATAATTAACGATATTCTTGTAAAGTTGAACGTATTCGCATTGTTAAACAACTTATTCTCTTAGTAATTCTCATAGCATACGATAGATGTACAATAATTAGTTTGAAGAAGAAAACCTAAGCCTATATATATATATATATATATATAGATATATCTATATATAGATATAACGGTTTTACTTTTTTTTTTTTTGATAAAAGAAAAGAGGTGTGGAAAGGTTATTAAGGAAATAGGTGAACTTTATAAGAAGGATAGAAATGCATGTTGTTGGATGCATAGAGATGAAGAATGTAAAAACATGCATATGAAAAGTTAAAGGAAGAAGAATCATCTTTAACATTTGTTTGATTTTCTTTTGAATTTTTACAATCACACACATTATCCCCATTTTCACCTCAAAAACCTAAACTTTCTTCCAAAACACTCTTTTTCTCTCTTTAGGAGATCTCTCTCACGTTTGTCTTTGTATGACAGAGATATGAAGATAGTATACGTTTCGTTTATCTCTTTAATATATATATAATATATATCTATATATATATTATATTATATATTATATAGAGGAGAGAGAGAGAGAGAGAGAGAGAGAAAAAAAAGAGAGAGAGGACACGAATTAATCTAATTCATAGGTTGAAGGTCCGGAAGAGGAGAGCTCTCTCATCCAACTTTTAGAGATAACAATGAGAGAACAATCTGATGAGTGATATTTGTCATTTCTTTTATGAAGAATTTATATAAATATTAATCTGGATGTTTTTCGTTTCAAATATAATTAAATACATCTCACCCATATATAGATATACTTATACGTACAAGGGAGAACCAAAGGGCTTTTAGCCCAGCGGTATCCGGTGTTGCCCTCCCTCTTTGAGGTTGAGGGTTAAGTCCTGTCGTGAACATAGGTGAATTTAATGTGTAGTTTAGGAGTAGGTTAGATTTGCTGTTTCAAAAAAAACAAGGGAGATTATTTCGGATAATAGACATAGAAGAAAAAAAAATTGTAATTTAAATCTGAATTATCATAAATTATATAAGCTTCTTAAATTTTTTTGATATATAGATTTAGAATTTAGAAATATTAATAAAGAAACATGGAGAGAGATGCATGACTCTTCAGATATTGTGAGACCCCACAAAAACAAACCCTTGATTCTTTCTTTCTTTTTCACTTCTCTCTGACCACATAAAGCGTTCATTTTTGCCTTTGTTCTTTGCAAGAAGTTACCATATCTCTCTCTCTCTCTCTCTCTCTCTCTCTCTCTCTCTCTCTCTCTCTCTCTCTCTCTCTCTCTCTCTCTCTCTCTCTCCACCTTTATTCTCCCTAGAACTCACACCTTAAAAGAAGACGATCCCCCTCCTGATCCTCCTTGTGTTCACAAACACCTCTCTCTCTCTCTCTCTCTCTCTCTCTCTCTCTCTCTCTCTCTCTCTCTCTCTCTCTCTCTCTCTCTCTCTCTCTCTCTCTCTCTCATCTTGAGTATTTCTAACCCTAGAGAAAGAAAGAGAAAAAAAAAAAAAAATAGGGCATAACCCTTTCTTATCTTGTTGATCTTTGTTCCAGCATATACACAAATCCTGTTCAAATTCCTGTCTTCAATTAGGGTTTGGACATACTAGTGTTGTCGAACATACATAAAGTTCAGGTTTTAATTTGTTCATAAAATGATGGCGTCGGCTTCAGAGTTAAGTCTTGAATGCAAACCCCACAGCTACTCCATGCTCTTGAAAACGATCGGAGAACAACAACTAAATAACGGACATGATCAAACACTTAAACTCGAAGAGTTCCTTTCTCGTCTTGAAGAAGAACGACTCAAGATTGATGCTTTTAAGCGCGAACTTCCACTTTGCATGCAACTCCTCACCAATGGTATTTTTGTTGATCTTCAATTCGGTTTCCATTTTGTCTTTCATATTGGTTTTGATGCTCATAAATCGACATTAATTTGCATGGAAAATATACTCAAAAGTTTATGTGTGTAATAGTTTCTGCAAAACTCAGAAACCATATATATATGAATTGATCGTGAAGTTTTTGGTTGTTCGGTATTAGATCATCACTGGCAAATCATTGAGTAATACCCAGTATAAACGGATTCTAATAAAAAACTAATTAATTACATATGTAATTATCTAATCTCATATCTTTTGCTTTATATGTGATATGTAACTTTAGTTATTAATATTTTAACATGATTCCAAAGTAACCTAGCTATGATTCAAGATTTACACCAGCTTGTTTCAAAATTTAAATTCAAAACCTAATTCTATAATATGTTCATCAGGATTTGATTTTCATTTTAGTTTGATTTTGAATCTTTTTAGCCATGGAGACATCAAGGCAACAATTACAAACTTTCCGTGCGAATCAAGGTTCACCAATACTGGAAGAATTCATACCTATAAAGAATTCAAACACTGAAGGACCCGAAAAGCTGTCACTTTCAAGCATTGATAACAAGGCGAATTGGATGACTTCTGCGCAGCTTTGGAGCCAAGCTAGCAGCACCACCACCACCATGGATAACAATAATCACTTGAAAACCACACAAAATTCGACAGTATTGACAACACAAAACAAAACTGATACTGATTTCAATACTAAACAAAGAAACGGAGGAGCATTTCTCCCATTCTCGAAGGAGGGAAACTCATCATGCCCAACTCCGGGGATAGTGTTGCCGGAATTGGCACTTTCTTCCGCTGATAAAGATACTGATCATGAGGAGAATAAGAGCTGTTTGAGGGAGAATACTTCTATCAAAGGTGGTAATGGTGAAATTTCTGATAACCAAACCACCACCACGGCCACAGGAGGCACCACTAGTTCTCAGACTCATAGGAAGACAAGGAGGTGCTGGTCACCGGACCTCCACCGGAGATTTGTCAATGCTCTTCAGATGTTAGGTGGTTCTCAAGGTATATTTAAATTAAATTTTACTTACTTTCGTAAAACGTTAAATAATTAATTTTTATTCTAGGAATTTACAATATTTCATAATTGTATCATGATTAATTAATCATCGATTGATATATTGGAGTAATTATTGCAGTAGCCACACCTAAACAAATCAGAGAGCTCATGAAAGTTGACGGTTTGACCAATGATGAAGTCAAAAGCCATTTACAGGTCTCTCTTTCTATCTTTCTTTTGTGTTTATGTATATTGCTATAAACAGTATGTATAATGAATTTTTCAAATTATATTAATTCGAGATAATTACTGGAGAAGCAGATATATAATTTATATAACTTTCGAAAACATTACTTAAAAAAATAAATGAACCATGGAAGCATTTTAAAATCAAAATTTGTAATTATCCAAAATTAATCTATTTCTAAACAACTGCAATGGTTTCACTAACAATTATTTAAAGTCTGATGTTTTTTATTTCACACACATATATATCGAACACTCGAAATGTAATAAATAGTACTGAATTCATATTATTTTAATTTTTTTTTTTTTATAAAAAACTGTAAGAAAAAATCCAACTTTGAAACCATATATAATAATAGTAATTAATAATCATATAACTTTTAAAACCTGTAAAAATCATTAACCCTTAACATCTAATAGATTTATTTGTCCAAAAATGTTTAAATTTAGTTAATTTCAAATAGTGTAATGATTTGGTAATAATTAATTTACATGCAAGAAGTGATTGTACCTCCATATTCTCACTTGATGTACAAAACGAACATTGATACTATGTTGTACGTACAACGAACAGTGATTCGATTTTGTACCTACTACGTACAAAGAAAAAACAGAAATTTCTTTTTGTGTGTTTTTATTATTTTGTTTTTTTTGGAAATAAAATATCTTTTTTTTTTAATTTTCGAATTAATTAATTTACTGTTTTCTTTGACATGTTACAGAAGTATAGGCTTCATACAAGAAGACCAAGTCCAAGCCCACAATCGGCCGGCAACGCAGGGCCGCAGCTGGTGGTTCTTGGTGGCATATGGGTGCCACCGGAGTATGCAACTGCTGCCGGAGCACAAACTCTATACACCACACACCCGAATGCCACCCATAGCAACCCACATTACTGTACACCCCAAGAATATTACCCTACTTCCGTCCTACCGCCACCACAACCACTGCACCACCACCACCACCATCACCACAACAACAACAGCAGCAACATTCACCACCAGCTCCACCACCATACTCACATGTACAAACCCTCCTCCCAAACCACCCAGAGCTTGCCGGAGTCTAATGGCAGAGGCGGCACCACTACCACCGGTGGCAACCGCTCCGAGAGCATCGAGGACGGGAAGTCGGAGAGCGGTGGCAGCTGGAAGGCGGAGAGCGGAGGTGAAACGAAGGCGCTTGTTTTAAGGGAAGAATGTGAAGAAAGCAATGGGAGTGAGATTACACTTAAATTCTAGTGTTAGTTAATTAATTAATTAACTAATTAGTATTAGTTTTATTAATTAAATTTCTGATGTTATAAATTAATTACTAAAGTTTTAGATATATAGTGAGGGGTAAAAAGGGCATAATGGGAAAGTGACAGTTTGTTTTTTTTTTTTTATCTCTAATCACAATTTGTATGCTTTTTGGGGGATTTTCTAATGATTAAAGTCCATATGTACGTCTTTCTTGGCTTTTGGTGTGTTTTGTGGACTTCTAATTTGTTGACCGATTTGCCCTTTTCATCTCATAAATAATTAAAATATATCAATTTTGAATATAACTCGTTTGTGGATATTTTAAAAGACAGCGAAGCTACTGTTTGCGGTGTCAAAAAAAATAGGTTGTTTACAATTCAATTACATTGTTCCGATGGGTACGTACTGGATATATTGTCATTTAGATGACATTTGCGTGAATGCTTCTATATATTAAGCTTAAGCATGCATAGAAGAGTGTCTTTTTACTAGGTTGTTTGTATTTCAGTTAAATGTCTATATATGATACGTTGATAACAACCTAGCTACTTTCATTTTCTACTCATTAATTATAGCAATATACCTGACTTATCATTCATATATAGCAACATCTTTCGCAAAAAGTCACATTTGTAGTTATGTGTATAACGCATCCTAACTTCCCTATAAAGAAATATCTCATAGATTTTTGTGGATCAATAATGGGCATTGCAAAGGATCCAATAAGACAGTGGCTGAATTGGAGAATGTACTTTGTGGAGCCGGTATATACACACTAATAGGGTACCGATGATATGGAAATCAGGATTGTCTATGAATCGCGTAAGTTCATTTTCCGAATTGATATTTCGACCCTATATATGCATTGGTATCATGAAAATTAAATCTACAATCATCCGCAGGGACACATTCGATTCAAGGCACAAAAACAAAAGTCAAATTACTAGAGAGCATTATGAATGTTTAAAGACACAGAGTCAAAAGTGATAAGAAAAAAAAATCATTTCCTTTTCCTTTATATAGCTTGACAAAATGGGTGTTACAATTGAATTAATTGTAGTCATTTAATGGTTTTAATGCAGCTATTCAACCAACGAAACCTCCGGTTATACCATAAATTGCCCATTAAATACAATTTGAATTCAAGATTCCAAAATTAACGAAACTATCAAGTTTATCACAGCCATTTGTCATCCGGGATCCAACTGATCTTATACAAGTGTGCACTCCACACCACCTAACTTATATTAATATTTGTTAATAATCCTTGTTGACCTTGTTAATTTCAATTACATTTTAAATGTCTGGTGACACTAAAATTACCAACATAATCGTTGTCAATTTAAGTAGCAATCCCTTCTTTCTGTAGCAAAGGGTTGGGGATCGTTTGTGAAGTAATGCATCTTAACCTTAGGGATATCAACGGGGGCAAACAGGACGGGGGTTGCATCCCCCGTCCCCATCCCCAAAATTTCCCCATTCACCCGCCCCCAAAATTTCCAACCTCCCCACCCCCGCCACAGCCTACTATCCCCTATGTGTTTTACATCACCTTGCTAAACACATGCTATGTGTAACGACCCAGATTTCTATCCATCTAATCTGAGGGAAATTTCAAAGTTTTACATACATTGTAGAATTCTACTCTAATTAATATCTTTACTTCCCAGGACAATCACGGGTTTACAATAAAAAAATCTACATACAAATCTAGAACAACAAGGAAATATATCAATAGCATCCTACTATCTAAATCTTCCATGTCTTTCAGCCTTCTCTTCTGTTACCACGGTTGTTACAACCTGAACCTGCAAAACATAAACATCTGTTACATCAGACACAACGTTCCTGGTGAGTTATTCTTCTATCTTTTCTTATCTATCTTTCATTCTCTTTCTCATACTCTATCATCTAACTCTTTCTCTAATAGCATATACTTCTATTGTTATCTCTTCTTTCATCTATCTTATCTACTCTTTTCCACTCTTTCTTTCTATATCTTTCTCATCTCATCTAACTCTTTCTATGTCGTCTACCATGTTTCTCATACTCTTCTCTTAGCCTCTTCTCAGGATCTTCTCATACACTGCTCATACTCTATCTTTTTGCCTCTTCTTAGGCTCTTCTCATACTTTGATCATATTCCTTCTTTGTCTCTAACTCTGCCTATTATGTACTCTTTCCTCTAGTGCCTCAGCAATCTATTCTCATCTAGACCCAATGGTCACATGTCTCTTCTCTATTCTGTGCTCTAACTCTTAGCATGTCTTAACATGCTCTGCTTACACTTCATATCTTTCTATATTCAACTTTAATGCCTCAGCATTCGTTTCTCATCTAGATCCAATGGTCACATCTCATACCATGATCTTCTCTATCTTTTAAGGGAATCAACTTTCCACTAGCTCCTTCGGGTATTCTCATTTGATCTTACTTCTCTCTTTTATGATCCCTTGTGGATCCTTAATCTTTCTTCTTACTCTTGAATCACTCACAGATTCCTTACCCTTAACCTCTTGTGGGTTACATCTAAGTTCTTACCAAGAACTCTCTTTCTTGTTCCTCTCAATGAACCTTTTCTCTATCTTCGCTAACCATACCAATCTGGATTCTCGCAAGAATCATCAATCTACATCCCAAAAGGGATCTTTTATAACACTCGGTTTTTCGGATCGGGTCGATATAGGGTTTCAAGGAATCAAGGCATGGTTTTTTGGAAAAACCAAGGCTCACGACGTGGCCATTGAAGGGTCACGACGTGAGAAGGGATTTAATGAAGATTCTGATTTAACTGAGCTCACAACGTGAGCATTAAGAGCTCACGACGTGAGGTATGCTGCAGCACAAGCCCACAATCTTTTAGCGTTTCCATCGTATTTAAACCCAATAAGCTTCATTTTAGGGTTCCAAACCAGCCTCCTTCGTCCCTAAACTCAGTAAAACCCTAACCCTATCCTCTCCTTGTGTTTCTTGAGCTTTTGGTGGAGTTTTGGAGGTTGGAAGAAGAAGAGATCACCATGCAAGCATAGTTGCAGCTTGGAAGCTTCATTTGCAACCTTTAGCAACACTTCTAGACCAATGTGAGTAATCAAGATCCAAGCTTTATGTTTCCTTATTGCTAGATCTAAGATATTATGCATACTTATCCAAGATCTTAATAGTTAGAGTGTTGAGACTCCATAAAGTTGGCAACTTTATGGGTACTTAGGGTCCCTAGATTCTTATATGTCATAGATCTGAAGTTTGAATGATGTTGGATTTCATGCATAAGAAGTCTCCTTTGGTACATTGTTCCAACAAGCCATCCTCTTCCTCATCACTTTGTTTTGTTTCTGGACCATTGTAATTTATCAAGTTCCTATCTTTCTCCTTCAAGCATGTTATATCTAAGCTTTTACCCACTTTTCTCCATGCTTGGGATTGTTTGGATGCATGGAATCCATAAAGTTAGCAACTTTATGGATCATGAAGGCTCTTGAGTAAACATAAGTTTCAGATCTGAAGTTTGATGGTGTATTAAGATCCATGCATAAGATTTTGGTGCTTTTTCCCTATTTTTGACCTAAGTTGAGCTATAGACTTGCATTAGGCATGCATGACTAAAAAGCATTGATCTTTGTTATGTATTAGACCTCGGGAAAGTTCCTGGAAATTTTGGATGCAAGGCTTAACAGATTAAGAGCTGGATTTGATAAGTTGTGGGAGCCAAGTTCCCACGACGTGGCGTTGGTTTCCACGACGGGGCGATTGGAGGGTCGCCCGACTATTTTGTCTTGTAGTTCCTACGATGTGGCCTTGGATGGCCATGACGTGATAACCTGCTGAGGTTGACTTAACCGTTGACTATGGTTAAATCTTGATCAATTTTGGAGTATTAGGGTGTAGACTGAGAGAGTACTTATGTACTGATGTTAGGTGTCTCATTGTACCTTTCTACCCGGTGTGTGAGTTGTTATGTGCTAGCTGCTATTCGCGAGGTGAGTCTTCTCACTATACTTTTCTGTGTGGTAGTATATGCATGTCGACCAGCTAGGTCTTATTTGTTGATTTATGTTATATGTGAAATGAGTTGTTGATAACTCCTGGACTGTTGTAAGTCCATGGGACTACTGATAGTCCTCAGGGTTGTTGATAACCCGTGAGGTGTGTTGTTAATCTATCGGACACGTTGTTAGCCCATTGAGACTGTTGATAGTCTCCAGAGTTTGCTAATAACCTTTTGCTGATTATTATGATGTGTTGTATGTGATATTTTGGGGAACTTGATCACTAAGTTTTGTGCTTATAGTTATGGATTAAATATTTTTGCAGGTACTTATCGGGTTGCGAAGGCGAGACTATACACACACATGAACAGATTTATGATTTGAGATTCCACATTATCTTTTTATTAACTCTGATTTCGGAATAATGGTTTATGAACAAATTGTTGTATATTTACTAAAAATGGATGTTATATTATTTTAAAAATGAAAATTTAGCCTTGGTTTTTGGGATGTTACAGTAGAAAGAGTGGAGGAAGTATAGAAAGAAAGTGAAAGGTTGAGTAGAAAGAGTAAGAGCAATTGGCATGGAGAGAAAGAAAATAGAAAGAAGATACGAGATAGAAAATGATTTTTTGCATAGAAGCAAAGAGAGAAAGAAAATAGATATGGAGATAGTGAGAACACCGGTCAAGACTTCTATGGAAATATGATAGTGTGCACTTGGTGTAAGAGGACATATGTTGATGATTTGTCCATAAAAGAAAGTTTAAACAAGTGCAAAGAGAAAGAGATAGAGATGTAACTCCTAAAGTGAGAAAAGTTGGACCCGTGAGATTATGTAGATATGTGTATGTTATGTAACAGTTCACTTGTGAGGAAATGTTAGAAAGAGAAGAAAATTGAACCTTATGTGTTATAAGGGGTAGCTAAAGAAAGATTGTGAAGTTGCATAGAATGGTGAGAAATTAGTGGACTCGTGATAAGAGTCTAAGACTGGGAATAGAGCCCCAGTAGAGAATGTGACGACCAAGTGTGGTATAGGAATGAGAATATAAAAACATTGGGAGTGTGTGATTTCTCGATGTAAAAGATAAGTATGCTTGTTAGGATATATCTTTTGATGTATCAAGCATAGATTTTATAATTAGAATTATGAAAGTGATAGAAG